CTTTAATTTTTCAGAAATTTAATTTTTTAAGTTTCTAGAATAAATGTAGTGAAAAAGATTGTTAGTAGAAAGTCGAAATAACACTTTAATTTTTTAGAAATTTGATTTTCGAAATCACACTTTAATTTTTCAGAAATTTATTGTTTTAGGTTTCTAGAATAAATTTAGTGAAAGAGATTGTTAGTAGAAAGTGAGAGATTTCAAATAGAATAAACTTTTTACTTTTTATTTTTCTTTATGACATTACTTTTTGCGTTTTATTTTTTTTGACAACAAAAATAAAATAGATAGCTCCCAGGTTGGAATTCGAACTTGAGACTTCCACAAAGAAAGTGGAAATGATAACCAACAACGCCATATCACAGCATGTGACTTTACTTTTCATATTAATAATATACATTCATTTTCTGTCTCAATTTAATGCACGCACATTGCTTGTCGGAATTATCCCACATCCAAGGATGAATGTCACATTTTTTCCTATAAATGGCTATGTAATAAACAATTAGGTGCACACGTGAAAGCGCGAGGGTAGCCCAATGTTTGAGAGGAGGTGCCACGCGTAGCAGCCATGCCGGCAGGTTTAGGTTGCCACGTGTAGCTAACATGCCGCTGAGAACCAGTGATCTATGTCCGTTGTGACTCGTTGATTTTTAAATCACTTATTTAAACTATATTTTTATCGATCAATTGGTGTTGATGATTTTTACAATGGCTTCCTTTATGTGGACCATACATACTGGAATAATATGGTGAATGAATTGGTTATTAGTTCATAGTAGGATTCATGTACATTAGCATATCCTGATCATGTACATAAGTATAGCATAATCATGTATAAAGAATATTGATATTTCAACTTTTCAGCCATGCATCCAGCCATGTACCAAAAGATATTTATATATCAACTTTTCATAAAACGATATGGGCACTAATGGCCTAATGGCACTAACAGCCTAATATCACACATATCACAAAAAAACGGCATAGGCACTAATGACCTCTTTATACAGTTTAGACACTACTGACCTCTTTACAACAAATAAATATATGCTTATGAATGCTTTCGTCATACTGCCAACTTCTCACCCCACCATCGTAACTGCACTTCTGTATTTGAGCTGCTCACCTCCCATCTTACAACACGAGGACGTAACTGTCATTTGGGCTCCTCTGGTTGAACTGGTGTGGGGATGGGTTGCGTATTACTTGGTCCCTCATCTGGTCGAGAAGGAAGCCATACTGGCACGTTGTCATCCAACTCCAATTCTACAGATGCTTCTTCCCCTGCAACTTCTGGGTCATAAATTTTAATACTCTTAATGCTTACCCAATTAGGTCCCAATTTCTTGAATTGTAACTTTCACATACAACTTCTGTTACATGGCTGATGTCCCTAGGCTGCATCAAGTCATATGAAATATGAAATTAGATTATTGAGACTTTTAAATTGTATCAAGTCATATGAAATATGAAATTAGATTATTGAGACTTTTAAATTGTATCAAGTCATATGACATATGAAAATAAATTATTACTATTCTATTTCATTAGTATAACTTCGATGTGCGTATTTGGAGGGATGTTTCCTAAATAGATTGTAGATTAGAGGCCTAGTCCTTATCCTGTACCACTCGATATATTCTTGTGTCGGCTTCCCATTGAACATATATTCATTTGCCTAACAAATATAATCTAACATATTCGTCCACATATCAATTTTCGCTCGAAGCTCATCTCCCCAGTTATTAGTCATCTCCCCCCTTCTCTACCTTCTCTGCCTCCTCTCCCACTTCAAGGGATCTATTGGTATCCTTTGATAAAGTTCAAATTGTCTGAGCACACGATCTAGTATATACCCCTTACAAATGTGTCCACATATGAGGTATATGCGACACAAAACAGTCTGGTAGACATTAAGCTCATAATATTTGTCCTTTGCAATTTTTTGTCATATGCCAGGATAATCATCGTATGGGGTCCATATGACCTATGACAAAAATAAGACAATTTAAATAAAATAATTTGCAACTAAAATTAATTAAATTATAAATAAATAAATAAATAAAATAAACTATAAGTATACTATACTAACATCATTTATTCACGCGCTATCAATCTTCTGTTGCCCCACGAGACAGAAGTTGTGAGTTCTATCCCATTATCTAGGAGGGGCCCACTTGAGGGATCTGGGTTGCCCTTTTTTGGGACCGAATTGGACGCAACAATTTGAAATTCTCATAAGCCCAATACTAAAATGCATGTATAAAAAAATAAGAATTACAACAACAAATATCTATCAAACTTTACAAAAAGTATCAAAACATTTAATATACTAGCATTACCAGCAAAAGAGTGACTGGTTCACTTAGGCATTGATGATTAGGACAAACAACCTTTGATAAGGTCTGAAACAAAAAAGCTAAGGCAGCTGCCCCCATGTATACTGATCAGCTACGTCCATATCCTCAAAAAATTGTAAATAGATTGTAGGAACCATACCATCGGTGGAATTCACAAATATTGTGCAGCCGACTAGATATAAGAGGTAAGTACGAGTGCAGGTGTATCGTATAAGAGTGATGCGGTTATAGTTATGTGGTAGCTGTTTAAACGTGTTTCTTAGTTATGTCAGCTGGATAATGGAATGGCTACGACTAGGTAGCAGTTGTCCTATCATGTGGACTATATAATCCTCGTCGTTCTTCACTCTCCTCAAAGTTACAGTTTAACTAGAGAATTTTTTCGTGCATCTTCAAAAGTAGGCATCATCTCTCTGATGTCTACATTGAAGTGCTCGGTGTTCGTCTCTACACGCTACCTCTTGATAATAGTAGATAATGTGCCACGGTCATGGTGAGTAATCGGTACTATGGTCAGAGGATACAATCTTGATCTCCTGACCAAATCAATTTGATCATTGTTTGTTAACGATCATGAATAATTTGTATTGGGCTTCTTACCAATCCTGAGGGTATTTTCTCGATCCTGAAATAGAATTTGTGATTTCAGATACTAAAATAAATAAATTGATTAACTAATATGATAGACAAATAATATAATTTTAAATACTTGTACATACAACTCCTTCTCAGATCTTCTATAATATATGTTCTCTCTGTCTAGTAAGCAATGTAGGAATCTTAGGACCTCCAGGAAGGGTCCATCTTCTGCCATGAGTACTGTTAAACAAGCCATCATAAATAAAAAAGCCAAAGAGTAAGCATTATTACTATTAGTGGCACCTCATAAAAAATATTAAATGGGGTATATGTATATGTAAAGTCTCAAATCACGAGCTAATACATAAAATATTCAATATTATTTGTAAAGAGAATGTTGGACAGTCAAGAAACAGCATTATCCGTAAAATGAGAGTAATTGAAAGAGAATGTTGAGATGGACAAGTGGCAAAACAAAAAAGAGTATTCAAAACAAATCCATTTAAGAAGACATAAGAGTAGTTCCAATAGGTGATCAAATCATAAGTAGTCTAACTTTGTGCGGCATTCACTTAAAACACCTCCAATTAGGATGAGTGATTTGAATCTAATGGAGGGATCTAAAGGTAACGGGAATGCCAAAAAACATATGAATATCAATAGTGACAAGAAAAATGGTGAGTATGTCTGACTGAAGATATAGCTAAACCTTAAAAAATTTGTGGACAAAACTATGAATATCAATAGAGTCGAATGGTGGACAAAATTTGTGTAGCCAACCTCCAAAAATTAGTATAGCACTATGAGATGTTGATGATGATGAAACAATTGAAACCCAAAACTAAACAGCTCATTTCAGACCAAAACAATGAGCAATAAACATTATTTCACAATTTTCAATTCTACGAAGGAATCATTCA